GCTAAAAACCAACCAAATTAAAGAAAATCCTGACAGGACCAACTGCTAGTGAGGATAATGTGGAGAAACTCTAATACATTGTTGGTGAGAATACAAAATGGTAGAACCATTTTGGCACTTTGTCAGTTTCTTACATAGTTAAACATACCATATGACCCTTCAGTCCCACTTGAGACATTTATCCAAGAAAACCTATGTTCACACAAGCAGTTGTACATGAATGTTTATAGTTTTATTTGTAATTGCCCCAAACTGGAAAATACCCAAATGTTTTTCATCTGGGAATGGATAAACATATGGTGATACATTCATAGGTGGAATACTATTCAACAATTTAAAGCAACAGACTATTGATACAATATAGATCAATCTAAAAGATATTATGCTAAGTACAAGATGCCAGACTCAAAAGGCTATGTATAATTTCTTCCCATTTTAGGACTTTCCAGAAAACGCAAAATTATAAGAATAATAAATAGATGAGTGGTTTCCAGAGTTTAAGGGTAAGAAGAGGGTTTGACTAGAAATGGATGGTGCAAGGGAATTTGTGTGTATGGGGGGAGGGTGGGTGGAATTGATGGAATCATTCTGTATTTAAGTTGTGGCAGTGGTTATACAACTTTATGCATTTGTCAAAACTCATGGAACTGTACACCAGAAAGAATCAGTTTTACTAAGTGAAAATTTTTAAATAAAATTAAATATGTGGTTCAGGAAAAAATAAACTAGGAGAGTATCAGCTCTTTCTCCTCACTCCCCCATTCCCCCAGAGAACCTTACTGGAACTCTGGACAAATGGAAAGATATATACTATGTTCTTAGATGACTTTTTAGATGCCAGTTTTCTCCAAATTAATGTCTATACATTTAATATAATTCCAATTAGATTCCAAGTGATTCTTTTATTTTAATTGGAAAAATGATCTTAATGTTTATATGGAACATAAAAAGATGAGAAAGCCAAGAAAATAATGAATAGGGAAGTGATTTGCCTTATCAGTAATTACACATACTGAAAGCCACTATCATAGGCATGGACAGATTAGTGAAATGAAGCAGAACCCAGTATAACTAGAAACAATATACAACAAACATGTTCCTCAAGTCAGTGAGAAAAGAGTAGTTTAAGTGGTGCTAGTACAACTGCTTAACCATCTAGATGAAAAGACTGCATGTACAGGAAACTCCAGATGGATTAGAAAGTTAAATATAAAAAAGTCTTAGGAGACTAAACTTTAGATATTCACATAAAAGATATTGAGTAAAGTAAAAGATATTGCTGAGTGACTATGAAGTGTACCATATGGTCATCATCTGAAGAAAAGACCTGCATGCCAGTCTTCTCCCTTCCAGATATAATTGTAGCTACTCATTTGTGTATCTATCTCATCCATTATCTATGCATTTAAATATGTACTAGAAATGTAGCACTGTTCAGGATGGTTCTTTTTTTATGTACAAATTATCATATTGTAATTTTTTCAGAATGCCTTTTTTTTTTTTTAACTCAGCAGTATGTCTTAGAGATCTATGCACATTAGATCTATACACATAGATCTACCTCATTCTTTTAATTGTTATTTGGCTGTTTGGCTATAACCCATGTTTAGCCCATTTGATCCTGGGCGGGTTACCTAACTATCTTAACCTCAGCTTCTTTATTTGCAAAATGGAGATAACAGTAGTAATGCCTATCTTAAAGGATTGTTATGGGACTAAATGTGTTAATATATTAAAAAAATTAGAGCAGTACCTGGCATATAATAAACTTTATTATTGACATTTTGGTTGTTTCTAATTTTCACAGTTACAAACCATGCTGCACTGAATATCCCTTTACGTATTTCCTTATACACATCAAGGAATAATGTGTATAAAGTAACCAAAAATGAAATTGCCACAGCTCTGATGTGCTACTTTATTAGGGTTATCATGAAGTCTTTAAAAAAAAAAAAACCCTCTTTTTAAAAAGTTTTCCCTTTTTTTCCTCTTTTAAAAAATACGTGTTTATTTAAGTAATCTCTACACCCAACATGGGGCTCAAACTCATGACCCCAAGATCAAGAGTCACATGCTCTTCTGACTGAGCCAGCCAGGAGCCCCTTCAAGTTTTTCTTTGTATTCCAGTTAGTTAGTGTACAGTATAATATTAGTTTCAGGGACGCCTGGGTGGCTCAGTCGGTTGGGCGTCTGCCTTCAGCTCAGGTCATGATCCCAGCATCCTGGGATCGAGTCCCGCATCAGGCTCCCTGCTCGGCGGGAAGCCTGCTTCTCCCTCTCCCACTCCCCCTGCTTGTGTTCCCTCTCTCGCTGTGTCTCTCTCTCTGTCAAATAAATAAATAAAATCTTCAAAAAAATTTTTTTTAAATATTAGTTTCAGGTGTACAGTATAGTGATTCAACACTTCCATATAACACCAGGTGCTCATCACAATGAGTGCGCTCCTTAACCCCCATCACCTATTTAACCCATCCCCTCACCCACCTCCCCTCTGGTAAACCATCAGTTTGTTCTCTATAGTTAAGAGTCTGTTTCTTGGTTTGCCTCTCTCTCTCTCTTTTTTCCCTTTGCTCATTTGTTTTCTTTCTTAAATTCCACATATGAGTAAAATCATATGGTATTTGTCTTTCTTTGACTTATTTCTCTTAGCATAATACTCTCTAGCTCCATCCATATTGTTGCAAATGGCAAGATTTCATTCTTTTTTAAGGCTGAATAATATTCTGTTGTGTATGTGTATATATACAATGTGTATGTATGTATATATATATATACACACACCACATCTTTATCCATTCATCAATTGATGGACACTTGGGCTGTTTCCATAATTTGGCTACTGTAGATACTGTGCTATAAACATCAGGGTGCATGTATCCCTTTGAATTAGTATTTTTGGGTGCTTTGGATAAATACCTAGTAGTGTAAATGCTGGATCATAGGGTAGTCCTAGTTTTAACTTTCTGAGGAATCTCCATACTGTTTTCCAGAGTTGCTGCACCAGTTTGCATTTGCACCAACAGTGCAAGAGGGTTCCCCTTTCTCCACATCCCCACCAACATCTGTTGTTTCCTGTGTTGTTGATTTTAGCCATTCTGACAGGTGTGATATCTCATTGTAATTTGGACTTGTTATTTCCCTTATGATCTGTGATGTTGAACATCTTTTCGTGTCTCTTGGCCATCTCTATGTCTTCTTTGGAAAAATGTCTAGTCATGTTTTCTGCCCAGTTTTTAACTGGATTATTTGTTTTTTGGGTGTTGAGTTTGATAAGTTCTTTATACAGTTTGGATACTAGCCCTTTATCTGATATGTCATTTGCAAATATCTTCTCCCATTCTGTAGTTTGCCTTTTAGTTTTGTTGTTTCCTTTGCTGTGGAGATTTTTACTTTGATGAAGTCCCAATAGTTTATTTTTGCTAAAAAAAAAACAAAACCCTTTAATGGATGTCTTTTGTGTCTATCAAGTTACCATTTCTTCTACTCTCCTGAGTTTCATAAAAGTATATTCTATCAATGCATATATTTTTTTATCTTTGAAAAATCTTTTGTTTGAACCCTTCTCATATTTCCAGTACTACTATGGATTTGTTTATATATTTATTTTGTCATTTTGGTGGGATTTAGGAAGAGAAGGGAATTAATTTACTATGTTGTCAGTCATCTTGAAATGAAAATCATACCTAAATTTTTAACTAGAATACTTGATTATTTCTCTGTCAGAATCAAAACTTAAAATAGTTCTGTCATTCCTTCCTTTCCTGCTCCTGCTTGCAGAAGACAAAATTGCTTTTATTCTTCTTTTTCTCTTAGTTTTTAAAAAAAAATTTAATTTTTTGTAGTTTCAAATTTTTATTTAAATTCTAGTTATGTAACATACAGTGTAATATTAGTTTCAGGTATAGAATTTAGTGATTCATCACTTACATATAACACCCAGTGATCATCTGGAGTTTTAATTGTAGACTTTTCTTTTTCCATTATATATCTTCTATTTTAATTATTGTTTAGAAAATTCATTCAATTTTAATAACCACGTTAACCATGATTACTTAGCCTTGACTCTAAGTAAGCATTATTGGAAATTTCATGCTGTTTGTTGTATGCCACACTCTCCTTTTCTAATGATGTTATTTGGCCACATTTGTATTGAAATTCTTTGAGTAATATTTTCAGAAAGGGTGTGTGGTATGGTATACTTTGGGTCCTTGTTTTCATGAAAATGTGTTTAATTTTCCCTTATAAATTTGATTGGTAGCTTGTCTGGGTTCAGAGTTTTAGGATTACAGTCCTCCCTCAGAATTCTGTAAACATTGCTCTTTTGACTTCTAGTATTTAATGTAGCAGATTAGAGGTCCAATTCCTGTTTAAAGGTATTTTACTGGATGGTAGTCTTGTATTTCTGTCTGGAAATATGTTGGCAATTCAGATATTTAACCAGAATAAATGTCTGCATGTCTAACATTTTGATTATTCCTGCCCTGATATTATAGATCCTATAGATGTGGGAATTCAGGGATTTAGGGAAACTTCCTATTTGTTTGATTATTACTTTTTTCATTTTGATACATTGTTTTTTCCAGCAAAGGAAATTTTATTTATTTTTCCAGTTTTATTGAGATATATTTGACATATAACAATGTATAAGTTTAAGGTGTACAACATAATGATTTGATATATGTATATATTATGAAATGATTACCACAGAAAGTTTAGTTATCATATGAGGTATTGATTTTAAGGTATTGATTTATTTTGCAGGTGGGCTTATAACATAGTTATGAACTATGAGAGCTGCTGCACTGTTGAATGGGAGGAGTCAAAAGTATCCACCTAATAAAATATATCAGTGATTATATAGGTCCTGAGAAAAAAATTGACAGGTGAAAATAAATACATACATAAATGAAAACAACAAAATAAAGCACACATTTGAGTGATGTTACAAATGTGCATGAGAATTTCTAGACTCTAATTTGGAACTTCTTATTCCATTTCAGGATCGGAAATTAACCAAAGCTGAGCAGCAAAGGTTCAAGGAAGAAGCAGAAATGTTAAAGGGTCTCCAACATCCCAATATAGTTCGATTTTATGATTCCTGGGAGTCTATATTAAAAGGAAAGAAATGTATTGTATTGGTGACTGAACTTATGACATCAGGAACTTTAAAGACGTAAGTTGACTCTGATAGTGCCAATGAAGTTTTGTTTGGAAATAATTTTCAAGAGTAATAAAAGTTGTTTATAAAATAACACTACTTGATTAAAGAATTGGTAGCATCTGAATCTAGTGACTGTGCTTCAGGGCAGGTTAAAAAATTTAGGATGTTAATGAAGTTTGTTAGAAAATACAGTATTGAGAAATGAATATTTGTGGGATAGCATAAAATTTTAGAATTAGAAGTAATGTCATTTTGTAAAAATAATGGAAGATCAAGGGTGTGGCCACATTCATAGATCTACTGAGCAGTACTATATAATTATAGTTTATTGTTTTATTTCTGACTACAGTTTTTCATTTGGTGGTGTAATCACTTATTTATAACTATTAAATGTGGAATATACTTTTTCTGGTTCCTAGCATCTTTACACTAAAATTTTACATAGTTAAACCCTCTGGTGACCTTATATAAGCAGTTATTAGAAAGTGTAGAAGGACTTTCTTTTTAAAATTGTGCTACCTTTCCACAAAAGGTTACTCTGGTTAGAATGATTCTTGTTTTGAATTAAAAATGCTGAAAAATGCTAAGCTTGGCAGGATGTCTTCTCTAAGAATGAAGCCTTAGATTTAAAATTGCTTTTCTATAACAGAGAATAGAAAACAACACAGTGATGGCAAGCATAGTACTTACAATACCAGCCAGCTTACATGATTTACCCATAATAGTGCTCATATAATAAGCTAGGTATGTTTGTTTACATGTGGTCTTTTGTTTCTTCGTGTAGGTACTTAAAACGATTTAAAGTCATGAAACCAAAGGTCTTAAGGAGCTGGTGCAGACAAATTTTAAAGGGGTTGCAGTTCTTGCATACTAGGACTCCTCCCATTATTCACCGGGATCTGAAGTGTGACAATATTTTCATCACGGGACCCACTGGATCTGTGAAGATTGGTGATCTAGGCCTAGCCACCTTAATGCGAACATCATTTGCTAAGAGTGTCATTGGTGATTAAACTTTTATAGTTATTGGTTGGATAAAGAGAGATTTTGTTAACTGTGTATGTCTAGAATAGGGATCAGCAAATTATGGCCCATGAGCCAAATCTGGCCCCATTGCCTATTTTTGTAAATAAACTTTTATGGGAACACAGCTATACCCACTCATTTATGTGTTGTCTGTGGCTGCTTTTGCACTACAGTAGTGGAGTTGAGTCGTTGTGTCTGAAATACTTACTGTCTGCTTCTTTACAAAGAAGTTTGCTGACTCCTGGACTAGAATGTGAATTTGTTTTGAAATATCTATTACATATTGACTTATTTCAGAGACATCCTAGTGTATTTCTTTTGTGGGATATATTAAAGATCATTAAGTTCTGAAGACTTAAGAAAGAGGATTTACTAATTTAGTTCAGAAAAATTTATAAAGAAGATAGAAATAAAAACAGATTTTAGTAATTGTTACCTGATCTTGAGCATTACAAATTGTACTTTATCAGTATAGAAAGTTAAGGAAATTCCTTAAGTACTTTATATAGGTGTAGCAAGTATTCTGCAAATTTTATATTTATAAATTTGGTTTAGGGAGCAGAAATTAACTCAGGTAATCCTTATGGCGAAGGGAATGTGATATTGGTGGATACATTTTTCTTTTTAATAAAGATGTGGATGTGGTGTTATTTTGTAGGGACTCCTGAGTTTATGGCCCCAGAGATGTATGAAGAGCACTACGATGAATCTGTAGATGTCTATGCTTTTGGAATGTGTATGCTGGAAATGGCTACTTCAGAGTACCCTTACTCTGAGTGCCAGAATGCAGCTCAAATATACCGTAAAGTAACTAGCGTAGGTATAACTTTATTCTTTTTACTTCCTAGATTGTCACATTTCATGTTGAAGTTGGTAAAGTCAGCTTAAAACTAATTTTGGTTTAGTGCTATATAACAGTGCTAAATTTAACATAATTGTAATGAAACAAGCTTTAGATTTATGCTATATACCTATACTTTATTGGGGTCACATAAAATGTTATGTATTATTATCTTTGGGTAAATGTACAGACATATCATCTATATCCACTTGTTTGTAAATAATTTTTAGATTTATTAGGTGGATATTATTTTTTCAAAGCTGAATAATGAAGATTGACTAAATGGTTTGGAAGGTTTCTGGTTCTAAAAGAGCATTCAAAATATTGTTCCTCAGCTACAGTATTTGATTCCCTGTTATGGGTATTTTTTTGCATTAAAAATTGCAAGGAATGTAAAGATGAATAAGTGTTTGCTACCCACAAAGAGCTTGCATTTTTAGTATGGATAAATTCACAAATAGCTATAAACATAAGAGGATAGGAATAGAGTAAAGGATGTAAGGGAGATAAAAACAAAATCTTAGGATAGTTCAAAATAGGTCTGTTTCATATCCAGTTGGGTGGCTCTAGAATAGGCCAAGAAAGAGATTGTCAAAGTGTTCAAAGTAACTGATATTAATAGGTACCCTTTTTAAATGCATGTTGTATACTGCGTGCTTTCATATTTAAATCCCTACAAGATGGCACTATCTTCAGTTTATGAATGATGAGACTGAGAACCACAGGTTGTGACTTGCCCAAGTTCACACAGCTACATGTGGATCCACAATGGTGGATTTTGACCCTAAATCTGACTCTGGAGATGTTTGGGTAGGGAGACTAGAAATAAGTCTTATATCCAGAATGTGGGCCATTCTGTAGGACAAATGACCTAGTTTCTCCAACAAATCAATTTCATGAAAGCAAAAAGGGAGGGACTGTTAAAGAATATAAGAGACTTAAAGTAGTGGTGAGCAGGTAAATGTTTAATAACTGATTCTCTGAAAAAGAAAAAGCACTGATTCCTAGCATTTGCTGATTTCCTTCGTGTTAAATATTCCCACAATGACTTTTAAGTTTAAGTTTTTTGTTTTTTTTTTTAAGTCACCAGTGTGACCTCACTGAATGCAGCGTTGGAAATGGTATACACAGTGGAATTTGTATGATATTTACACCATACAGATAGAATAAACAACCTCAAGAGCATAAATAATAGTAAAATGTAGTAAAATAATTAAGGACTGGTATTTTCAGTATTTATTACCTTGGTTGTTGATATCATTTATTTAATTGTAAGCTTATATAATTTAATTTTTGTAAATGACTGTGTTTAACAGCCAGCTTGCAAAATTCTTGAAAATGTAATGGTTGCCTCTTGTAAGCTGGTATGAGCCAGCTTTAATGCACCATACATGTACTGTGAGGACCTTGTTTGGATCCTGATTTGAACAAACCAAGTATAAGAAGACATCATTTAGACTATTTAGGAAATTTAAGTGTGGACTGGGTTTTAAATGATGTTAAGGAATTATTAGTAATTATTTTAGGTGGGGTGATGACATGATATCTGTTAGAGATATAAACTAGAGACTTTATGGGTGAAATTACATGATGCCTAGGATTTGCTTTAAAATATTTTTGGATTAAAAAGGTGTGGAGGTAGATAGCTGAGACAAGGTTGACAAAATGTTGTGTGTTGAAGCTGGTGATGGTTACATGGGGCTTTTACTATTCTACTTTTGAGTATGTTTGAAGCTTTCTGTAACAAAGAACTGAGAAAAAGAGATAAAGCTAGAAGTCTTTTTAGTCTTGGTCTGTACATTGTATGGCCACAAATAGAAAAAACTTTGTACTCAATTTCGTAAGTTGCAGTTCCCCAATTATTTTCACCTAGGAGCAGAGAAAGGCAATAATTACCCAGGACTGGGGAATAGGTAAGAGATCAATGGAGAGGTCAAAGAGGACTTTTTCATATAAGTAGAATGATGTAACTCCATTTTTTGAATGGTGACTTTATTATTTTATATTAAAGTCACAATGTTATATCACAATTCACATTTCCATCTATATTAAAGCTTCTTGAACTTGAGATCCAGACCTGTACCTCTGAAACAAATAATACATTATATGTTAAAAAAAAAAAAGAAGATAGCAGGAAGGGAAAAATGAAGGGGG